AAAGGCTTCTTACATCCTGCTGCCCCTCCTTGCACACCAATGGAGCAATAGGGTGAGATCTGGCACTTTCTTCTTATTAACCATGTCCTGCCCTCAGGTGGTGGGTAACATAGGCAAGGGGAGGCACTGCCTTCCCAAACTGCCCATGCTCCGGCCAGCTGGGATGCCTTGCCAGCTGGGAGCATGGAGACCAGGCGATCTGTGGATGCTCCGGGGCCTGGGGCAGTGGCCTGGGGTGAATGCTGACCGCTGCAGTTGAGGGATGGCCTTGTTCCCATGTGGGGCAGGGTGAGCAGAATGGACAGGGCCTCAGGCAGAAGGGGTGGGGCTTGCCTTCTCCAGCTGGGCATTTGCCCACTGCCCATGGTCCTGCCACTAGACCCCAGGGGGTATAACACCAACTTACTCCCATTGACACGGCAATAGCAGAACAATGCTAATGCAACTAGTATACTTGTATTTAACAGCTAAATCAAGAAAAGCGATGACATTCAGAGCTCATCATTTACCCGCGATTAGGTATTGCAAAAGGTCTCACTAGAGCATGGGATGGTGAGTAACATATTTACTTCATTCCCTAGTCATAATGTCAAGGGGTCAGGTTGGTGCAATAACTAAACGGTCAGTTTTGAACTTCCTTGGTCAGGCTGGTTTGGGCCAGATTGAAGGAAATTGTAATATTAGTTTTGTTTGCTAATTTCATTGGTCCAAATTCTCATACCCTGACTCTCATTGATTAGTAGTTTAAGAAGTCCCACTGATTTCATCAATGAAGTGATTTCATTGTGACTACTGGAGGAATAAGGGCTTGTCCACATGCAAAGCTGAACTCATTTAACTGATAAAACTGATACAAACCCCTGTGTGTACATTTCTGCTTTGGTTTGATAGTGGTTTATTTCAATTTACTTTAAACTGATTCCTAAATAAATGAAGCTAAGTAAAAATAAGAGTTGTGTATTCAGGAATAAGCATATTCACATGAGCCTGCATCAGTTTTATTGAATCAATTGAAAATGTAGTTTAACCAGTGCCATTTTCTCATGTAGGCAAGGGCTCAAGATTGTTTTATGCTAAATGCAAATAAGTCACTCTTAAACAAAAATAAAACTATCAGCACAGAGGTTTGTACCAGTTCTAAATACATTGTTTTAAAACTGATTAAAGTTAAACGGATTCATCTTCCTTGTGAAGGCAAGGCCTAAAGCTGGCAGAATCTGTCTCACTCTTTGTTCTTATTACTATATAGTGTATGAAATACACTAATGCTGTTTACACTTTCAGAAACAGCAAATGAGCATATGAACTATTCTCACAAGATGAGTCAGTTAACAACAACATCTGGAACAAAACATATTGCTTACTTGAGGCAGAAAACCAAGTGATCACACTTCAGTAACAGTATAAAATGAAATCTGCAGAGACCTATGTAGAAACTAGGGATGTAAAATCCCATTGAATTGGTTAACTGGTTAAATGTAATGTTTAACTGGTTAACTGATTAAAGGAGGAGCGGGCGGAGGATCCCAGGAGGTCCCTCCCACCTACTCCAGCTATGCTGGAGTGCCCCTGCCTGTGGAGGGCTTGGGCCAGGCCTGCCATGGACAGGGGGTGCTCTGGCTGGGCTGGAGTGCTGCCTAACCGCGGCAGGCGGAGAGCTGCTCCAGCCCCCTCTGGTTAACTAGTTAATCATTCATATCCGTAGTAGAAACTTTTTTAAAAAATAACTATTATTAGGGTACTAGTTTAGCTGGGTCAGAAGCTCTGAAAGTATCTGGAAAATGTTTATAAACAACTTTTCTCGTGCATACCATGACTGGAAGATTATTCTTCGTGGTGTTTCATTTCTATCCACTAGGCTCAGCGGTTCCCATCCTTTTCCAGATGGGGACCCATTTTGACAATTCAGGAAGACTTGGTGACCCAAGGTAATTCAAAAACGGGGGGACAAGGGAGAGCAGAGCCACTTGGTGACCCTTTTGAAATGTAATGGCGACCCATATTTGGGTCCCAACCAATTGGTTGGGAAACCCTGCACTAGCTACATGTGGCTATTTGGCCAGTTGAATGTGGCAAGATGGCTTGAACAATGTGACTATTTGGCTGGCTGAGCATGACTAGCTCTCTATATATAGTTCTATATTACAATAGCTACTGCTTCAGAACTGGATGGACATCATGGGCGCTGTAAACCACGTATCTTTTTCATAAAACAATCCCAGTGGCAGTTCTGCAGCGACTGCAGTGAGAAAACTTCCACCAATTGGTGTCACACTATGGGTACATCTACACTTGCTCCCTAGTTCAAAATAGGGATGCAAATGTAGCTGACCGAAATTGCTAATGAAGTGGGGATTTAAATGTCCCACAATTAATTAGCATAATCTCACCCGCATGCTATTCCACTCGCCAGCTGATTCGAACCAGGAAGTGCACTCCGGGCTGCGTTTATTGACAGACTGATTATGGTGCAGACAGCTCCTTTGTATTCTTTAATCCTGCCTAGTAGCTGACAGTGAAGGGCTGTTAGTGCTTAGTTACTGCACTGTTCATACAAGTCTCTGCTACATGCAAACAAAATAGAATCATAAAATGAAACTCCAAAAGCCCACTTACCAGCAAAAAATGAGGAGTAACATTAGTTCGAACCAAGGGGTTTGATTTGAACTAACACGTCCCGGAGCACACTTCCTGGTTTGAATCAGCCAGCGAGCGGAATAGCGTGCGGGCGAGATTATGCTAATGAAGCGCGGGATATTTAAATCCCTGATTCATTAGCAATTTCGGTCGGCTACATTTGCATCCCTAGTTCGAACTAGGGAGCAAGTGTAGATGTACCCTATGGCAACAGTCACTGCTCCGTGTCATGCTAGGGGAGGAGCTAGAAAGAGGGGAGGTTGTGTTGAATGTGTCAAAAGAGACACCTAGGAGAGTATAAGGAGAAAGAATTAAGACAGTAACACTTGGCATGTCAGTCTGCACTCTTGGCTTTCACTTGCCTTAGCTGAAGGTTGTCAACCTCTGCCACTGTGTTAAGTGATATGTTATTGACCTTCCCTTTAATCCTTTTAGCACCTGCATGCTAGTAACAGTCTCTCTCTCTCTTACACACACACACACACACACACACACACACACACACACACACACGTTTGCACATTAGTGTGTTTAGTCCTTATCAGACATCCATAGATTTCACACTGAAGAGTTTTAGCAACAAAACAAAAATCAACCCCACAGACCCTTTAATGGTGGAGAAACAAAGCTGAAAGAGCCAGCTGTCAAGCATAACAAATCAAGCCCTTCTCCTCATCTTTTACTATCCCTCCCTCCAGCTTTCTTCCCTCCAAGCAGTAGATGGATCTCCCTTATTAAACTGATCATGCATCTGATGCAAAAATGTGTGACTGAACTGGTGTTTTGCCTGGGGTCTTTATTTTTTTGTTTCATTCGACAAATAATCTTGCCCAGTCTGCACTTTTACTGTGATGAGCAAATGGAACTGTTTCTCCGTGGCAGCAGAATTTAACAAACCAAAAACCAATACAACCTGATTCCACAGATAATATCAAGGCAGTGATTACGCGATACCAGTGTTGGCATTTTTTATGACACTAAATAAAGGCAGGAGATAAAAAATAAAAGCATCACAGTATGCCCAGATGCCTAATATTCACCCATTAACACATCACCCAATATTAAGAGCCTCACATTGGGAATGGCCAACAAAAAACCAGAGAACCCCCAAGCTCATTCCATACTTGGTGGCTATTGACAGACTGATTATGGTGCAGACAGCTCCTTTGTATTCTTTAATCCTGCCTAGTAGCTGACAGTGAAGGGCTGTTAGTGCTTAGTGACTGCACTGTTCATACAAATCTCTGCTACGTGCAAACAAAATAGAATCATAAAATGAAACTCCAAAAGCCCACTTACCAGCATTTCAAAGAGCAAGGACAAAAGTTGAAAAGTTCTGACACTTTAAATCAAGTCTGACAGGAGCTACCTGTTGCTGAAACTTTACTGCATTCCTTGGTGCTTAAAATGGAAAACAGGAGCAACTTTACAGTGAGGTATTATTTTATTTGGGAAACCAAACTTTTCTCGACAGGAGATTTGGGAGAGGGGAAACCCTTCCCCCACCAAAAAGCTACAGTAAGAAATCTTCTCTACAAATTAAAACCAAAATACCTGCATTCTTCAGCACACAGCAGCCCAGAGCCATGGTTGGACACTCTGTTGTGTTTTTCAAGAAAATATCCCAGTGCCCAACAGGCTTCTTTGCTTTTATCCATAGTATTTACTGACTCCCAGTGATATGTGAAAGCTGACCTGCTTAAGTAAGGGGGGGAGCAGAGGGTCAGAAAACAATCTTCTGGGAACACGGATGGCATAGACTTTGACTCAACATCTGTACATCCTCCAGACTCCCCTTCTAGATGTACAGATGGTTTAGCCCAAGTCCTTGGTCCTTCTAATCTCTTCACGGTCCAGCAGAATGGCAAATCAGAGTAGTGAACAGTAATCCCACTCTGCTCTTACTCTCCATCACAAGGGATTTAACACTTTCCTGCCCTTAAAGAATCTTGGAAGTCTGATCTTATTTGGTGAGTGCTGTGGTCGAACAGCAGATATCTGAACACAATCCTTTAGTAGTGGGAGATGTGGAAATGTATAAAAATTAACTGAGGCAGTAGAAAGACCAGAGAGAAAAATCAAACTGTTGCATCACCAATTAAATTTTTTTTTGCTATAATCAGCACAGGCTATATGCTGAGACACACTGTCTCCCATTCTATCCTGACCATAGCTGCTTGAGAAATATCTAGAAAGGGGACAATTATAAAACATCTATCAAATTCCGTTTCCAGTCACTGGAATTACTTTGGATTTACACTGATGTAACAGGGAGCAGAATCCACATTTTGAAACAAACTGGAATAAAGAGAACAAATTTGAAATGCCCTCCCAATGCAATGCCTTCCTCAATAGCTGGCTTGGGTCAGTAATCAACTGAGCATTCTAAAATGCTGTATTTTTGATCAGCATTGTGTGCATAATGCCATACACCACAGCAAGGAGAAAGATTGTGTCAACCTAAATTAAACAAGAACAACAAATTAGACACATAATTCATTTGCTGAACAGGTGAGCTATCCCATCACAAAATGGTATCTGTTGTTTTATTATTAGTAGTAGTAATATTAGTGTTCTGTACAGAGATATGGAAAAATTCCCTCACAGGTTTAATATTTTTATTTTTGTATTGGCCTGTTTCCTTTTTTTTTTAAATGATGTTTTAACAAAAGAATCTTAACTGTTCTTTAGGATTCACCTCTCATTATCTTTGATGCCAGTAACTGGATTATGATGTTCATAATCCAAAAAAGAAAAAAAAAAGAGTGGAGACAGGGATTTACGAAGAGATTTAAAAATGTATAATACTAACAACCTGACAAGAATTTTCCTTCCTCTCCTCCTGCTTTGTGAATTAAAAAGTAACTGCTTAATGCTTGAATTCCCATTGGTAGGTTACCCACCTCAGTGATTATAAGCAAAAGCTGAAAGGTGCAACTTGAGTTCAGAACAGGAACTGAAGCATAGCAGAGGCTCTTTGATGCATTAAGACAGCCCAAGTCAACAGAAGGTCTGGCTGTAATAGAGGCAGCAGCCTTGGAGAACATGACCTACATAGAAACTTCAGCCTTCCAAACATCAATAAGTGGAATCAGCGGCTTATACAGCCATGGCCATTTCCTAAAATACTTATAATTGCAAGACTCACAGACTCGCTCCCCTCCCTTCATGTGTAAGCCTTGGCAATGCTTTAGGGGGAGAAAATGAAAGAGGAAAAGAGAGACAGAGAAAAGCAGACTGCACCATTTTATGAGGCTTTATTTAGGCATGATTTAAAAATGATTGCTTTCTTTAAACAAAATTGACTCATATCATCTTTCCTGATCCTTAGTCAACAATGTTTCCATCCAGGGCCAGCAATTTCCCCATAAAAATCATCTCACAAATGGAAGGAAAAGGTGCTTTACATTTTATTTTCTCTAGGAAGTAATAATAATTTTAAAAGAGTTGAAATATCTCCAACCCTGTTTTTCCCTCAGAATGACCCCAACGGCAAAGGAAAAATATTTGCTCTGAGTACTTGAGCAAACCACGATGAATTAAGTTTTTGTTGTTAGTGGCAAAGCTGCTATTTATCTGCAGAGAATCAAACCAGATGTTGAAACTTAATTGAGAGTTTGGTGGCTCAGTGAGCTAGCCCTTCAACCTTTGGAAAAAAGACCTGCTGCAAAACCTGGATGGGGTCACGAAAGTTTTTGACATTCACAGACTGAGCACCATTTGTACAGCAAACTAACTATGCCTTTGCACAGTCTTGCTTCAAGAGAAGGTCAGAACTAGGTAAGTAAAATGTTGCAGGTCAAAACTGATGTGCATCAGCAGAGCTTTCACATAGTCTACAGTGGTTTTAAGATAGTGATAGCAGTCCCTCGTTTCAGGAGCACTAAAATCTAGGGCTGACTGAAAATCTTCTATCAAAACTGTTGTCTGGCAGAAAATTAGGTTTTCTGCTAAAAATCTGTTGCAAAAAAATGCCTGCATTCCATCGAAAAACAGAACATCCCAAAACTGGAATGCTCCATCTGACTCCTGGGCTACGTCTACACTGGCCCCAAATTCCGGAAAAGTCATGCAAAGCAGGTAAGTCAGAATAGGGAAATCCGTGGGGGATTTAAATATCCCCCGCGGATTTAAATAAACATGTCCGCCGCTTTTTTCCGGCTTGGGGAAAAGCCGGAAAAAAGCGTCTAGACTGGCACGATCCTCCGGAATAAAGCCCTTTTCCGGAGGATCTCTTATTCCTACTTTCAAGTTAGTTTGCTGTACAAATGGTACTTTCAAGAAGGAATAAGAGATCCTCCGGAAAAGGGCTTTATTCCGGAGGATCGTGCCAGTCTAGACGCTTTTTTCCGGCTTTTCCCCAAGCCGGAAAAAAGCGGCGGACATGTTTATTTAAATCCGCGGGGGATATTTAAATCCCCCGCAGATTTCCCTATTCTGACTTACCTGCTTTGCATGACTTTTCCGGAACTTGCGGCCAGTGTAGACATAGCCTTGAAGAATTTCAGTTTAGAAATATCCCATAGGATTTGTAGTTCAATGCTTCATACCTCTATTCTCCTCTCTGGACCAAGCTACCCAGCCAGACTACATGTCCCATGCTGCACAATAACCTGGGACACCCATGAGGCACCGTGTAGGCTCAATAAGGGTACATCTTCACAGCAGCATTATTTCAGAATAACTGACATGATCCCAAAATAACAAAGCGCGTCTACACAGCAAGCCATTATTTTGAAATAATGTCAAGCTAGCGGACTTCTTACTCTGACTCCTGTAACCCTTATTTTATAAGGAGTAAGGGAAGTCAAAGGAAGAGTATTCTTCCTTTGACTTCCTGCTGTGTAGACAGCACCAAAAGCCGAATTCAGCTATTTCAACTTCAGCTTACCAATTGATGTAGCTCAGGTTATGTAGCTTAATTTGACTTTTGTCCTGCTATTTAGATGTACCTAAGAGGGGAACTGTGATGCATCATGGAAGATGTAGTCTGGCCATGGAGCCTGGCCCATAAAGGGGAATGTGGGCAGGAGGAACCCAAAATGTAAGTCCTACAAGGGCACTGAAGTGGCTTTTCTGTATTTAGCAGAAATTTTGCAGCCAAAGTTTTTGGTTTGCAATTTTTTGAGTTAACTTTTTTTTCATAACATTTTCCACGGGGAAAAGAAAAATCCATTTTCTGACCAGCTCTACAAAAATCTCGCTTGCTATTTTTGCAAACCAAGAAAATGAACGCTGCATTTCTTGACGGTTATTCTATTTTTAATGTGTCTGTCTGCCAGTTCTAACAAATATTTACAGTATTAGCTATAGCAGTCCCAATAAAGTATTTGAAGAGAAACAGGGACACAAAAAGAGGATCCTGAAGAGATAAACCTGGATTCTATGTCAAGTGGAGTTTGTCAACAGATACATTTTGCTTTGAATGGGCTATGAGCACACATTTGCAGAGACAATCAGGGAACATTGAGGTTTCTGACAATGACATTTTACTTTCCTATAGTTTGTTTTCCATTTCAAGTCTGAAACCAGATCAATGTTCCTGATTGTTTAGGCACCATTTCATAAAACTTGGTTAACAGTAACTCTGTTGTAACCCTACAAGATAGATAATGAACAACTCTTTGATGGCTATTCATATGATTAAACTACATGAAACAAATTCTGCCTTAAGTTACATCAATGCAACTCCAGTCATTTTACCAAGGATTCATTGTAATGGCAGAATTTGGCTCTGTTAACGGGTTAAAGAAAGCTTCGTACAACCTATGTGACTACTACAGCACACTGTCAATCTTATTGGTCAAACACAGATTTTGGATTTTAGTCAAGGGTAACTTAATTTGACTCATTATTTTTGATATTTATTATTTCTTGCTAATGACCTTTTCAAGTGAAATTTCAGATTAAAACTGAAAGATGCTAGAGTCTTATTGGACTTTTTAAATATAGATGACGAATCTAATTTCCTGCTAGTAATATGCTAGCCACTAGCCACATTTGGCTATTTGGCTGGTCGAGTGTGGCTAGTTCCAAAACACATGCCCTCAAGAATGAGGTCTCAAAAGTATGCTTCCAAGGGAAAAGGATGACCTAGTGATTAAAGCACAAAGGAAGGAGTCAGCAGACACACTGCTCTTCTTGGCTGTGACTGGGGCTACATCTACACTACCATAGGGATCGGCACTCATAGATTGATCCACCAGTGGATCGACTGCAGATCACTCTTTGGTTGAGCCTCTTACTCCACCCTGGATGAGAAGAGTGAGGGAAGTCAACAAGAGGTTGTTTGTGCATTAGTTTCCTTCTCTCTAAAATGTGGGTAACAGTGTGGGGTATTAAGGAGAGATTCATTAGTGTTTTTAAAGATCTCTGACATGTATAATTTATCAAAGACCCCTACTGCTCTAGATTTCTTACAATTTTTCTAAAGGTACAAAATTTCAAACACATTCATATTTAAGGAATGAACCACCTACGAAACAAACAAAAGAGATAAGAACACCCTCCCTTCACATTCCATTTAATGCACCCCCTTGTGAAAGAATCTTCAAAAAATAAGAGGGCTTGTAGAATGACCATATATCCTCATACCTGTAGTGTAAGGAGTTAATCCCAAAGTTTAGAACGCTTTACCAAAAAAAGCCCATTTATGTTAGAGGATCAGAAAGTGAAGCATTTATAGTATCACTTAGACAGCAAACCAATGTATTAATTAATTATTATCATTTATTTATTTATTATTTAAAGTTGGTTGGAAAAACCCAATTCGTTTTCACAGGGAAAATTTGAAAAAGGTCCCTTTCTCCCAATATTCTATGTAAAAAAATAATCAGGTTTTCAATGAAAAACTAAAACAAAACAAGTTCAGCAATTTTTGGGGCGGGGATAATTTTTTTACTCCTGAGGGAATTCTATGTTAAAAGGTTAAAAATTCTGCACAGCATATTTTAAAATTCTGCAAAATTCTTCATATTTTGTCAAAATAGAACTCTATAATCATGCCCATTTCCATTATTTTGGTAATTTATTTCAAAATACCTGTCAGCAACTATGTTTGT